TATTACTGGCACGTGAAACCTTAAATTAGAGTGAATAAATGACGACTCGGCACACCACTTCTGAAAGGTTGCCGACCCGATATAGGTCCTTGCTATACAAAGTTGGAAACCACTCTTGAATTTTAGAACTGACGCACTGAGTTTTAACAGATATTTTGGGGCCAAATTCACGGACAGGGTCAGCTGTTTTACATTGTTCTGGTGATGTAATGCAACTGGCTGAATCAGTTAAACCAGGTTTATTGCTATTTTGTGGTGGAGGAGCATACTAGTGAACCAGGCCTTTCATTTTTAGACAAAATCTACATTACCTGCTTTAGACTTCTTCTTAAAAACATTGAGTTTTTAACACAGTTAAAGCACAAATAAATTAAAGATTCTGAACTCAACGTGAGCAGGTTTCAAAAATAAAAATGAGATACTGTGTGTTAGCAAATAAGAGATTGTCCACAGAATACATATTACACTCCCTATTCATTGAAAACCTCAAATTCCAGATGAGATACATGCCAGGATTAGAAAGATTAAAATATTACCACAACTGAGTGCAATCTGAAACTGTTTACATTCCCAGAAGGCAGAATTTTGTGTGTGTGTGTAAATGGCACAGAAAACTTGCACCATGAGTCCATTTTCAAGCATATCAAAATAGATATGCCAGTACTAAAAAGGATGAAGGATAAAAAAAAAGCATCTCTTTAGAAGGCACAAAAAAATGTGATTTATAAGTAAAAACTGGGAAATGTTTGAACAAGTCAGGTGCAGAGATTAAAGCAATTTCCAGGCAGACTGAATATGCAAGGCAAGTACATAAAAAGCACAACACTTATGTCAACACTGGATTTTGGCAATTTAAGACAGGTAGTATTTTTGGAAGGATTTTTAAACAATTTATTCCGTGTATACGACAAACAAGTTTGTCTTTCATCATCAGCCATGCTTTCTTGCTTCACTACCCTTTTTTATTCAACAAATATTTTTATGGCTAATGTACAATAATTTCCTTTCAGTATTCATGAGCAGTGCCACAACGATGAGTGTTATTCAAGACTTTGTATTTGTGAGGCCTACTAGTCTGTAACTGTAAAATATTAGATTGTTCATGAGATGGAAATCGGGTATGAAGCCTTTTGCTTATGAGGTACTTATTCAATTTTAGATTAGAACAGTAGGGACCAACGATCACCACCTCGTCAGTTGTTAACTAGCCATTGTTACATAAGTGAATTAGTGAAGTTCTGGGTACTCAGGGAGTTTCAGATATAACTTATAACTTAGGTCCATTTAATCTTTGACTGGTAAATCTAGTGGGGAGAGGTTGGGTCATTATGTAGAGAGACTGTACATCTCATCAGAAGGACAAAGTGCCAGTATCTCTAAAACAAACAATTGTTAAACTACACTCAAAAAGGCATCTTTTACACTGACAATCTCAGCAATTATCATTGTCTCACATCTTTTCTTGGGGAACTTTACTGAGAAAGGAATGCAACTCTGAGAATAGCCGGAGTCAGATTTCTCTGACATCTTTCAATCTGATACTAGGCAGCAGCACTATACAGACCACACTTGTCTCAGATCATCACAGTGGTGGACAAGGATCAAGTATCCATTGTTTCTTTTACATCTATCGTTGCCTTTGACACTGTTGACTATGAGGTGTTGTCAGTGAACCCTGGCAGGGATGGAAAGAAACACACTTGAGTAACTCTGTTATTTCCTCTCTGAGTACACTCCAAGTGTAGGGCTAGGTAATTGCTCATTTTTCTCCAGGATTCTCATGTGGTGTCCCACAAAGTTCTATTCTGCCACTCATCCTCTTCCATGTGTATGCAAGATATCTAGAGAAGATAGTGAGAAAGTCTGGCTTGTAGTGTTATCACACTATGCTGACACCACTCAGCTCTATTATTTCTTTTTCACTGGCCCAAGATGGTGCAGTTGTTCATCTTAGCCAGTCTTTGGCATTTGGATAAGAAGTGGCTGCCTGGAGCTCCTTTCAAATAAAACAACACAGGCAATGCTGCTTGTCTGGAGGAAGCAACCAGTGGGCAGAGAGACATTATTTTTGGCCCTCTGAATGTGGGTGTACACTCTCATTTTATTATTAAAGTTTGTAACCTTATTGGATTCTCAACTACTTTTGAATGTTCAACCAGGCATTTTCAATCATGAATCCTCAACTCCAGCATGCATTTCTTCCTTTGGTCCAAGACAGCCAAAATTTGTTGATCTCCATCACATACTGCAAAGCCTATTCATTCTATCAAGCTTTTTCTAAAAGTGTAGGTTATTATTTTCCAAGTGTCCAAGATGTGCCGTACACC